GTTGGGGGGGGGGGGGAGGGGAAGCCCAGTGAGGGGGTCACAACAGTCTTATTCAGGTACGACTTGGAAAAGACGGGAATCACCCGGAAGTAGCAAAGGTATATACTTCTCTGTCCTCGCCCTTTGCGGCTTCTTCCTGTCGTGCCACCCGTCGTCTGAGCTAATGTGTCTATCCTTTGACAAGTGTTCTTTTTTGAGAGAAATCAGACATCATTTTGGGGGCAAGGGAGAGAGATCCATTCAAAGCCTAGAAGAAAGCCAGTTATCCTCAAGACCATCACCATCTTCGCTATCATCATTACTTGCCACCATCGCTCTCGACCTTCAGGTTACTTAACATATCTTATAGTTGTTTTTATCCTTTCATAAAAGTCGCACCAAGTCCAGATCTCCGGGACAAGACGTCGGGTACAAAGCAAGCAAGGGATGAGCTACGGCAAGGGTCGTGCCATAAAGCAAGAGCCGTCCAAGGGAACGGGCCGAACAGCGCAACCAACTGAACGTGACTGACGCATACTGTCGAATTGGCAGCTACTGCACGTCTAACATTAACACCTACCTCAACGGGCACCGGGAAATTATCGCCTCCGGGCCAGATCGCCGAGGAAAACCATTCCTTCCTGCCTGCATCAGCTCAGTTCACACCACACACCCTCGCACCTTCCTCGAGATGTCGTTCACCAAATGGTTTAAAGGAAGCGGAAGTGGAAAGAGCGACCAGGACACCACGACGACGATCCTCAAGAGAAGCAAGACGAAAACAACAAAGAAGAGAAGCGAAGAGGAAGACTACTACACTCAAGACGACATGGAGGGCTATGTCTACGACAACAACTACCACTACCAGCCGGCCCCCGGACTCCAGCCCCAGGGATATGGATATTCGCAACGGATGGCGGCAAAGTCCAAGAAGCCGAGACTGGCGGCGCAGGAGGGACACTTCAATGCTGAGGAATTGACGCGTCGTCTCCTCGATGTGCTGGCCGAGCAGAAGGTCCATGAAGTCAAGAGGCAAAGAATCAGAGAAGCCAGAGCCGCGGCGGTAGCACAAGATCCAGCTACTCAGTGGCAGCAACGGCAAGAAGCAGCGATATCCTCTTTGAACAGGGCCCCGACAGCAGCTGGCCGGACGACAGGCTTGAGAAAACCAAGCAAGTCGTACGCAGACGCCGATATCGAAGCAGCCGCCGAAGAACAAGAATACCGCCATGTCCCCACCAACGCAGCCAGGGCGTTGAAACAAACCGCTACCAACAGGGCTATGCGCGACCAAAACAAGCGAGCGCAAGCCCAGGCCGAACACCGCCGTCGAAGCAGCGAAGTGACTGGTGAAGTCCTGATAGCTGAACACACGACGGCCCTAGCACGCCAGACTCAGCCCCGACTAGTCCTTATAGAGAAGAACCGCCTCAAGGGGGAACAAGCGACTGACGAGGCACTATCAGTGGGCCAAGTCCGCGGGCAAGCAAGTACCGAGAAAGCAAAGAGACGACACAGTCTCAGTCTCGAAGGCGCGTTGTCGAGGATCTCGGCAGCTTGGGCGTCTGGAGCCGAACCGAACCAGACAATGACAGCACTAGCACCAGCAACAGCAGCAGCTGGGCAGCAACAACCTAGGGAAAGCAATGAGACCGAATACCTAACCTTCCACCATCCTGAGGCGGACCCTATCCCCATGACGACACACAAACCACAACTTGCCATCTTCTTCCCACAAAGCACGTCAACAAGACCAGCAACCAGCGGCGGCAGCAGCGGAGCACAACAAGGAAAACGACGACCTCTCAGCCCTCCCCTCACCAACAACCCAAACCCAAAGCCAGAGCCTCAGCCAAAGATTCCGATCCACCCCCTTCAAGAAATCCCCCTCCCTCTTGAACCTGCGCCAGAAGCTCGGCATGAACAATTCCGGGTCCGGCTCAGGATCATCCGGCTCCCCCGGCTCGCCAGCGACCGCCAACAGTAGCGGTAGTAGCGGTAGTAGCGGCAATGGGTTGGAGGCAACGTCACCGCTTACTGCGGCGTCTTCTTGTGGCACTACCGGCGGTGCTGGTGCGGAGAATCAGCCGCTGACACAGCCACAGTCGGGATCGGCAAAGAAAATGGCGACGGGGAAGAGTCAGGAAAAGGAGAAGGAAAAGCCGAAGATGAATACCAAGAAGAGTGGCTTCTTTGCTAAGCTTGGGGGGAGTGTCAAGAGGGGGATGTTTTGAGTTTGTGTTGTTTCTGTTCCTCGTGTTTTGATGAGATATGGGGGCCAGCGCATGGGATGACGGGATAGGTAATAACGACGAGTACGGGTATAGATGGCATGTAGCGAGGGTGGCAACCTAGGGGTAGCGGAACGTGTTGGGCTATGAACACACAAACGAATTTTGGACGGCGAGGCAGCCTGCGGTATGAAAGGTATCGGCTTATTTAGGTATACTATATCTAGCGTCAAAGTTACCTATACACCAGCAGGTATGTAGCGTTGACATAGCCGGATACTCCACGTATTCGGAGTGCTTATATACAGCTCTGATCTTTCTATCAAGTACATGTATATCTCTATTATCATCATAGTCGACAAGACAGAGACATTAATACTAAGGTATGGGTTTCTCAGCTATGATAGTCCTTGTGCGAATCACCATCGTACAAACATAGAACCCTAGACCGATCATGACTATTCAGCCAATACTGTGATGCAATAATGCCCCCCTTCCCAAACTCTGCAGTTCCACCTAGAAACCATGCTTCGGGAGGTTTGTGCAAAGGCTGACGATCTGCTGTGGGTTTATTCGAACGGGAAGCAAGCTCCAATCACCCTAACCAGCTCAGTTGCTTCGAAAAGTCTTGGCCCCTTAGCCTCTTAGTCCAAAGACTAATTGATTGTAATCAGCTCTGCGAGGCGCAAATATACTTGGGAGGAGCTTCATGAAGACTCAAACCAACACATCGTATCCACAACGCTCTAAACACCATCCATCCTCCTTTCCACTCTGGGTATCTTCCGTCGTCGACTTGAAGCTAACGACCTCATGTAGCCAAGCTACCGTAGCCAACTGCTTCCTCGCTGTGGGTATGCATGTGTTTCCAACAGCCAGCCAGCCAGCCATCTTAGAATATGTGACAAAGGTCGACGGCGTTATCGCCGTCTTCTGTTTCCCATCCGTCACCCTTCACTTTCAGTCTCTCTCCTTTTCTGTTCCTGATGTCTCTTGTGTGTTTAGCCATCATTGGCAAAGTTGATCCATACAGGCAAGGGCTGTCGATCGGAGTGTAGCAAAAAGCGACCTGGTAAGACCCTGAGGGCCCGTTTCTCCCGCGATTCTGTGTTGGTTCCTGACCTCGTTCGTTAATCATCGTCTTCCTCTCTCTCTCTCTCTCTGCCTTCAAAAGTTCCAGGGAGCAGGCAGGCAGGCAAGGAGGCAGGCAGGCAGGCAGATGGTGTCCTTTATCGATCCCCACCCTCCCGCCTAATCTCCTCCGCCAACATCCTCTTCACCACCTCCTGCTCCTCTTTCACCACCTCCTCCCTAACCAACTGCGTCACATCCCTCACACCGCCACCGCCCCCACTCTGAATACCGGGCGCTGGCAACTCTCCCCTCTCGTGACTCTTCAACAGCCAAAGCACAGTATCACAAAGCTCCCTCACGCCATCCCCCGTCTCAGTCGGATCCGTCCTCGCCCTCTTCAGCGCGGCCGCACCCCTACGCAATCCGACTTCCTTGGACCAAGGCTGCGTGTCCTTTTTCATGTAAGAACTACCCGAACTTGAAGCGTAACCCGGAACCTGGACGCGAACGGGAAGACCGGAGGCAGTGGTGGCGAAGCCGGTGTTGGGGTCGACAGCAAGACCTTGCGGGTTGTTGGAGGGGGGCAGGGTTTGCGCGAGGATGTGGTTGATGCGAGACTCGAGGTGGGGGTATTTGGTGAGGAGGCGGGTGATATGGTGGGCGTGGGGAAGGAGGAAGGCGAGGGGATCGTTGTCTTTTGCGGGTTGGGAGTGTTGAGTAGGCTGTGGTTTTTGGGTGGGCGTAGGCTCAGATACAGGTGGGTGGTTTTCCTTGTGGGATTTGTTGCAGGCCACTGAGCAGCTGTTTCGTTTTGATGAGTACGAATGTTACTTTCAAAAAGAAGAATAGGAGCAGGTTGTTGAGTTGAACTTACTACATAAGCGGGCAACGCGGACACCTGTACTTTCCTGGCTGCGCTTGACAGATACCGCATTGCTTTGCTTCCTTCTTGGCGGGCTTTGGTGGTGAATCTGGTTCTTCTTCCTCCTCCGCGGGGCTGGGACGTTTCCGTGACGGCGAAGAAGCGGGTTCTTGTTTCCCTGTTGGCTCCGCTACTTGCGCTTCTTGTGCTTCTTGCTGCTGGTCGTTTGACTTCCTCGTTACATATGTCGGCTCCCCCTCTCCCTCTTGTTCTTGCTTGATACGAGATTGTGATATGACCTCTGATTGGTCTTCTGAGCTGGTTTGTCCGTTGACTTGTGTGGTCTCTTGGCCATCATTCTGAGTCTCATCCGAAGCCTCTTCACGAGCACCGGCGATGAGCGCCTTCAGCTCATCAGCGAACAGGCGCTGAGACTCGTCTGAGGCCATATCCGGGCCACCACCTTGAAATTCCGTGCTCATTGGACCTAAATGATCTCTCTTGGAATGCGCCTTTTGCTGGTAGGATGGGTCTAGCGCCTGGCAAGAGGTCGATGTTGATAGTGAGGGGTGTGGCGCGTAAAAGGTGTGAGGTAATCGTGTGAAAGTTGCGGATATTCTAAGCGAATGCTGAAAAGCTATATGCTTATACAATGGCAACACAAAACAAAGGCTTTATTAGTTGAGTGGAAGATCAATTGGATGTTCGTGGCTGGGGTATCTCTGAGTGAAGGGTTTCAGGTTGTTGGTCAAGTAGAAATTTTCGATATGGAAATCTGTAGTGTATATCGCCAAAAGTCGCGATCCGCAGTTTTTGCCAAGCGACCAGGGAAATGCCGATAGGGCGACAGGAGGACGTGAAGCGAAGGATGTAAGTCGTCGAATATGATTGGCACTCAGGTCCCTCAGTCCAAGCAAAAATCCGTTATCCGTGTGGTACAAAAGGTGGTTTGGTGGACTTCTTCAAAGTGTGCATGGGATAAAGTGCACAAAGGGTCCCTCCCAATCCCAACCAAAAGTTTGGAGAAACTCCAATCCAATCAGTGTGGACGCTGACAAACCACCCCGTTGACATCGTGAAACCCCAGTAAATTTCCAAAGCTATGACGCAAAAAGACGGATCGCCCCCACATGCTTAACACTGGGCCCCTAGAACTGGCACGGCAGTGGACGCATATCGGCGCTAATCGCGTTAGCGTTAGCGGCCGCTGACAATTCCATGCCCCGGCACAGCGGCAACATTTCGGAATAGCGGGTAGGTGGGAATCTGTTTCGGCGTCATTCCTTTTCTTTCCCATCCCGTCTTCCTTCCTTTCCCTGTCCGAAGTCGCCGTGTCTCCTTTCCCTCGACGGCACTCCGACAAACACCAACGATCACACCGCCCACGATGCCATCGAACAGATTATTACTACGACAAGGCCTAGTGCCTCTGGTCTCCAAGTCGACCGTGCGACCCGCCGCGACAACCATCCCGCGTCTGCGCCAAGTTGCTTCCGCTTCCGCCAGCGGCAGCAGCAGGCAAGCACATACCGGCGCTCGTTCGGCCGCCGTCCGTCCTCGTCTTCACCAACAATCATGGGTCCCTAAGACGAGCCTCGCGCCCCAGCAGCGCCGCACCATCTTCATCCAGACCGAGAACACGCCCAACCCGGACTCGCTCAAGTTCCTGCCCAACACCAAGGTCATCCCGGAATCGATCAAGACGCCCTTCATCGAGTACATGAACGCGCGCAGCACCATTGCGCCGCCCTACCCCTTCGCCACTGGCCGCGCAGCTCATGAACATTGACGGCGTCACCTCGGTCTTCTACGGCACCGACTTCATCACCGTGACCAAGTCGGCCGACGCCAACTGGGCCCACATCCGCCCGGAGGTGTTTGCGCTCATCACCGAGACTATTACTTCCGGTCAGACGATCGTTAACGTGGTGGAGCGCAGGGAGGGCGAGGAGAATACACAGGAGTCGGACGAGAAGGATAGCTTGGCGTACGACGAGAACGATAGCGAGGTGGTGGGCATGATCAAGGAGCTGTTGGAGACGAGGATTCGCCCGGCTATTCAGGAGGACGGTGGCGATATCGAGTTCCGCGGGTTCGAGGATGGAATTGTTAAGCTCAAGCTGCGCGGAGCGTGCCGGACGTGCGATTCGAGCACGGTGACGCTCAAGAACGGTATCGAGGGCATGTTGATGCACTACGTAAGTTTCTCTTTGCCATTGTCCTTTCCTGGGCCTTGAAACCCGCTTCCTGTCCCCTTTCACATATCAACGCAAAAAGAACAATCGCTGACATTCCTTGCCCTTACACAGATCGAAGAAGTCCAAGGAGTCGAACAGGTACTTGACCCCGAAGAAGACATCGCGTTGCAGGAGTTTCAGAAGTTTGAGGAGAAGTTGAAGAAGCAAAAGGGCGAAGTCCCCCTCACCACCGTAGGGAAGGACTCTTTGGATTCCATCCCTGGCTAATCCGTTTTCTCTGGGGGCCTCACCCACTCTCTCTCTCTCAGATTGATGAATCGTCATCCTAAAATCCCCAACGATCTTCCTATATACCTATTATACTATACCCGTCCCGTACCTGCCGTACAGTACCGTACCGTACATACTTCCCTAGCGCCATTGGATATAAAGACACATGATCAACTATAAAGGAGAGACGAGCAGACCATATCACCCTTCCATGTGAATTGCGGAGATGGTTTTGATGGTTTTGTTCTCCTTTGTTTACCTGGCTTCTGGTTTTACCCTGGCTTCTGATCACACACTTGTTTTCCGTTTGTAAAATGCACTGCGATAAGCACAAGAATCTTGCGGTTTCCATGCGGGTAGGGAACCCGTCTCACCCACAAGGTCGTACAAGCAAAACGCCCAGAGTCCGGGGTATGCAATCAGAAGTCCGGCATGGCGGGGGAGAGACCTTCCAAGCTTTGAAGCCCCGCCAACATCGCACCTCTCTGGATCTAGGTGCAAAATATGCAATCGGTGATGGGATGGGTTCAGGTTGTTGACCGGTCAGGGTTCGGTACATATCTCGCTGAATGCAGGGTGTCATGTCATATATCAAGGATGGCGGAAGGAAGGGGTGGTCAGGTGCCGATGATTGCCGATACTAGTCTAGGTTCCGAGATGCCACCACCTTGTGTCATTGAGTTGGATTCTGGCCATGTTGGAAAGAGAAGAATATGTGGATTACATGCCGTGGGTTGGTGGTGGTGGTGGCTGCTGGGTGGAATAAATGAAATGTGGTGATGTAGTGATGTAGTGATGTATATATGCGTGGCTACTCTAGTCACATACCACAATCAGAAAGCTCACATTTTGAGCAAAGAACAGACATATAAAAGGCGCCAAATATCGCCAAATATTGTGAAACTGCAGTTCCTCACTTCTTATGAGCTGAGGTGACTGGAGGCTCGAAAGTGCTGTATAAAGAAGTAGACGGTTCTAGGCTTGACGGTCTATAGATCCTCGGTTCTAGGAAAGTCTTTCATTGTCTCGACTCCGCAGATTCTGGTTCGTGCCTACCTCGGACGGCACGACGGGTTGTAAAGTCTGGGGAAGGTGGTATGAGCCATAGATCATAGCCAGTCGGCTCTGCTGATGGCCTTCATGGCATGTTCCAGTCACTTATCCGTTGTAAGGGGTACATTGACATACTTCTACCTGTACTAATGGAGCAGTCTCCTTACCCTGGCGAGTCTGGCTTAGGTTGTGTGCATCTATGTGGGTAGGTAATGTCCCCCTTGCCATACCTACCTGGATGCCAGAAGGGCAACGCCAGAACGCCGAGAACGCCTCTCGGTCTGCAACGAGTTCTGTCTTGGTGTCCTGCACAACGGGTTGCTGCAGACGGCTTGTTGCCTTGCTGGTCAGATAGTAAGATAGTAGAAGCTGGTCGATGTTCCTACTGGTCCACATGCCTACGGGTTTTGTGCACGTTGTTCTTAAAGAGTTCTTTACATCCGGAAGAGCGCCTCTGGCTTCCCTACGTTTCCAATTGGAAAATTTCCGAAGGATGCGTAACACGGCCTTTTTCGACGCAGCTTTACACAGATGAGGTAAGTGAGAGGGCACACAGTCCCCTTTATGACGTTCTCATGAAATGATAGTCGTGTGGTTGCGTGGTGTTAGTAGAGGCATCTGGTAGTGTCCGTGGCGGGTAGGATGAGAGATCGTCGATCTGCCAAAGGGAGGTGGCAGACCGGTATGCCACCTCCACTTTCAACAATCAAAAACTCTGGTGTGTAAGTGGCCAGGATATTGACTGAACTTTGTGGCGTGACGGAGTACACAGAGACACTCTGATAATATCGGAGCAGTTCTTCAACAAGCTTGTCTCCCTGCCTCTCCTGTTCGACATCAAGTTGCCAAGGTTTTAGGGTGGTAGCCGGGATTACGAATGACTTCTCTTGCCTTTCCTAGTTGCCTTGTTACTGATCGAGGACGAATTATTGCATAGAGCGGACCTTTGGCTCGCATATAGAACAGTTCAGACTCCACAGCTTGCTAAAACCGCCGTACAGCTTGGCCTGGCATTGAATGGAAGAGTGCCAGTGAGGAAGGTCGAGCAGACCGACCGAGAGACATGAAGTGACTGTTTGAAGGTAGAAGTGAGAATGGAAATGGGGTGGTCAAGGCAGAGGGGTCTTGGAGGGCGCCTCCTCACTCTCCAAAACTCCCCTGACAATCCGGGGTTGGGGATGCCGGACCGCCCCTTGTCGTACCCGTTGGATGCTGCGCTATGACCTCTTTCCCCAACCTTCCGGGGGGCACTTGATGCTCATCTGTCCGTCCCTTTTGCGGGGCTAGGCCGCGGGGTAACAATTTAATGAGACATGATGCTTCAGATGCCCATCACGTCGGCGGGGGCGGTACCGGTGCCGCATACGCCCCCCTCCGGTTACCTCACGTATTGACCTGGGAGTTTAGATATTTGTGAATTAGAGGGTGTACACTCGAGATACATCTGTCAGCCTCCTTCGCTTTTGTTGAGGATCGAATTTTAGGCCTCGCAGTTGCGTTGTGTCTGATATCTCTTCAGGTGGCTTGGGGTTGCTCTAGGTTGCTTGACGATAGTTTCGGGCTTGAGAACTCCATTTCGATAAAAGATCTCTTGCGTCAAAATAGCTTGTAACCAAGAATAATGCTTGGGGCCTTGGAGTTTCTCGGAGATAACTTCGACCGTGTTGAGTCTTGTTGCTTATGTCAATCTTCAGCCTGAAAACCCACGATCAAAGGCAGCTCTGGGTACCTCGAGATGTTGATCTCGCCAATTTTTTCTTTGCGCACGAGGTGGCTGACTGGGTAGGATCGACAGGTTGCTTTGCTCCATTTCTTCAGCAGTCTTTCCTTCCATGTCTTGAAATTGATTCAAGAAATGACCCATGTGTGACGAAAACCGCAAGTTGAGGGGAAGAAGTTAAGGTACACCGAGATACAGATGAATGCTTTGTAAGTTGCCCGCTGGCCATAGCTCCCGTCTCTGCCCCGCAAGGAGCACGAGCAATATCAAGTACAGGGTATCGTGTGTCTCATCCAGCATTGGGGTACTGGAGAATGGAAGGTCGACATCCAAGGAAGCGAGCCTTTGTCTTGGGCCAATCCCTTGGACTACCTATGGTAGGAGCTAGGAAGGGTATTTCCAGCAACGGGTGTACTTCTCGGAGAAGCTTTGCTTGCCAATATGACTGGACGGAGACCCGAAATCATGCTTGGTAGCTTCGAGTATACATGAAGCGCTAAAGACTCGGTAGCAGGAAAGCTGCCAGAAATGATGCTGGGAGACGGGGGGGAATGTCAAGGGAGCAAAACTGCAAAAGTCCATCGTCTGGTCGTCCATTCAGAGCGCTGTATGCGCTGCTATAGAGAGCACTGCTTGATGAAGATGCAGATGCAGCGCCATGAGGTTACATCACATTGGGCAGAGCAGTTCCAGCTCTTTCCCATTATTGGACTTTGCATTGACTCGGCTGGGTGATTTGCGGAGGCGGAATGGAAAGAGATGGATGTCGAAGTAGGTAGTGTACGGTAGCTGGGTGCGCCTTCTGTCTCCTGGCTGTTTATCGGTGCATGATCCGGGGAAGGAAGCACCGCTGTTTGGTGGGCCCCGTGATCAAAATCGGATTTGACTGCTTGATGCCAACTTCCCCTTTTGAGCTTGTTGCAGTTCGGAAGGATCCTTTGGATACATATACCAAGAGATGCTATGATTTGAAGACTCCATGCTCTACCTTGAACCCACTACCCAGAGACCTCTAGGTACTAGCCCTCGGCAGTAATATCGGTGATGGTGGGTCTAGGTCATGCCCGGAAAGAAAATCGACCCCAGACAGCTGTTTTCACCAACGGCCGGGACTTTCCCGGACTGTCAGTGATGACCGACATGTGTCTCCACAATCCACAGGGCTGGCCGTCAGATTCGGCCCCGCAAAGCGAATTGAGGAACCTGGGGAAGAGGGTGACAAGAGCACATGGAAGTCTCAGTGCGATGGAGTGATTATGACCATGATGATGGCCCAGGAGATCGGCGATCCCCCAATCCAGCATGTATGCAGATGCCCTGGACTAGTTGTGACTTGTGAAAATGGCTTGGGGAAAACCTGGCAGACCACGGTACTCGATAAAGTATAGTCCAGATAGGGGCCGTGCACTACTTGACTCAATCTCGCAGCAAGTTGAACCCTTTTCTAACTCATTGTCTTTGTTGCGGGACGACACCTGTCAAAAGAAATGGAGGGCATGGCCGGTACATAGAGTGAAGTTATACACTCAGATTCCAATCGGCCACTTTGCGTGACCCCAATATGCAAAGGTCACTGGGCGTTGCCGCCGGGTCCTAGTCTTGGAGTGTGCGGCCAGGCTCGCGGGGTTGTGACCGTCGGCGGCCACTTCCAAAGGCCCTTCAAAATGGGATGTTCGTGAACCCCAGTTGCCCTGACCGGCGAGACCACGCTAGACTCTTACATCACACCCATCACCAGGACACCACCATCTTTCCCATCGTTTGCCCCGACCGTCACTCCATTCCCTTCTCAAGTCAAGATTCTGCCCGTTGGTGTCTGCTTCTGCTCGACAATCTTTCTGCTTGTCTTGTATCCTTATGTATGGGGTAAGGACTGGAGTTAAGCTTACCATGGAGGCACGCTTGGCCTCTTTTGTTTCCGACGTATTCGCGGTTACTTTGACCTCCCAAGCAATCCGTTGACGACGCGGACAAGGTTGACTCCACACTTGAATTCATGCATGCCAGGGGGAACAAAAGGGGGACGGTGCGGGACCTCCATTTATTCCTGGTCCCCAGAATCCGGCAGATGGTGCTGTGATTGGTCTTTCGGTATGGGGAGCGGAAGCGCTGATTTGCCTTTGCCACGGGGGACCATGTATTGACCGTACCAAGCTGGGTTCGGCTAGCCTGGTCCAGGATCCAGCCACTATCTAATAAGCGGCCTGTCTCCAGCCTTCCCCGC